AAAAAAAAAAAAAAAAAAAAAAAAAAAAAAAAAAAAAAAAAAAAAAAAAAAAAAAAAAACAGCAACAAGAGACAACATTCACAGATGATGGCTAAGTGCAAGACAGCACGCATGCTATTTGCTATTCAGTACTAAAATACCGGAATGAGCATGAATCAGGTCACGATATTAGGCGAGATGCATCCTATGCCGAATTAAGAAGCAGGTCAAGTGATGTGTTGGCATGCACAAAGATTGTAGACAACTAACTACGGAATTCTAACGACACCTGAGGCAGGAAGGAAGGAGAGGGGGAGGGGGAGACAGGGGGAGGGGAGAACAAGGGTATAAACTAAATACTATTATGTACAAGGGTCCTAGTGCATAGCTAGCTGGCTGGCTGATGTGCTGTTCGCGGCCAGCCATACTTGGCACTTGCGCTGCGGCACTGAGATGAGAGCATGAATGAGACGGCCATTGTTTGGTGAACCACGAGGGCGGACAGCCATAACCGTCCGTCTTCGGCACACGTTAACATCATTAAAAAAATATATTTTTTTAAAATGATGAAATGGATCAGCGAGGGACAGCTCCGGCTGTCACATTTACTCTGCGGAGTTCACAACTATGTTACAGAAAGAATCTTTTTTCTGTTTATGTAAATGTACAGGAAGCGAAAGTTTTTTTTTTTTTTTTCCAAAACATGAAAAAAAATAACAGAAACCGAGTCCCAAGCTTGCGACTTGTCATGTGTTTCGCATCAAGCAGCACGTATGCATGTGCATATGGATGTGTGCATGCACGTACGTACCACGTACCCACAAATGTGGTACCCGTGCATCCAGTCCCTCTTTATATATATATATATATATCGTCAAATAGAACTGCCCGGTAAACCGTAGGCGCAGAGAGGGAGAAGAGGACAACAAACGAGGGGCTGTGACAAACTGTTTCGTCGGAGTTTCACATATATGTATGTATGTAAGCATTCATGCGCTGGGGACGTGTGAGCAGAGCATTCAAGCAAGGTAGTACACGGGGAGAGAACCTGACGCCGCTGACGGTTCCTCCTCCTCCAGATCTACTGCGGGAAACAGAAAAGACGATACGCTCCAGAACCCGAAGCTCAACGCTCATCAAATCGGGCAAAGCGACAAGCTTTGGTTGTTCAATCGGTCAGGAGGTTGGTTTGGACGTGCGCCCAAAAAAAAAAAAAAAAAAGTAATTTGGTTCCGAGAACTTCCGACACGCGAAAACAGGCACAACGGAGTGAAAACGCGCAAAAAATTAACGGAACATAACACGATACGTCGATACGTCAGGGACACAGCACACACACATCAGCCGTAAGGACATGCCACCGGTGGCGGGATGCACAAGAGCACGCACGTAGTGTGTGCGTTTTTGGCAGCGGAACGAGTTGTGCACCCACCACCTTCACCATCAACCAAATTACCGTCTTCACTCGAAGAGAATGCTCGGTCGTTATAGCTGCTGAACCTAGACTGGAAGTTGCCCCAAATGCAGCTATAAAGAACGGGTGTTCTATTCGGGTGAAGACAGTAGTTGGGAAGAGAGTTGTTCAAAGTCACCGCGCCCTGATTGACGTCAGTGGGTTGTGCCCTGGTTCCAAACAATCAGTCCAGACTCCAAAGACTCCAAGCCATCCTGACCAAGGTTCGAGCTCTCGGTTAATATCAATAATGGTTGCCGTCCCTCAGGAAAGGGGACAAGTAAACACAACTAAACGCAACTAAACAAGAAGAAACGGTTTGTCAGCCGAAGTCCAAACCTTGTTAACGTCCATGGTTGTCGGTATCGGGGGAAGAGCTTCAAGAAAGAAATGATCAGACGGTCGTCGGTAATTGTCGGCCTTCTAGATGAAGGAACAATCAGGCGAGCAGAGTTCGAACGAACTTCGAGTTTGAAGTCTGAAGACTCTGAACATTGTTAACATCGACGGTCGTCGGTCGGCCTCCAGAAGGAAGGAAAAATTTTAAAAAATCAGTCAAGCAGAGTTCGAACTTCGAACCCTTTTGCGATCAATGTGGTTCTTGGCCGCTGTTTTTGGAAAGAATAAACAAACAAGGGGTTGCGCACAGCATAAACAAACAAGGGGTTGCGCGCAGGATAAACAAACAAGGGGAAAAAGCCTGTCTGTCTGTCTAAGATGAGTGTGTGTGACACGAAGAGACGCTCCATGTGCCCGCCGCCCACCCCCTCTCTCTCCAGGGGAGAAGCGAAAAGATGTACACATACCTGATCATCAATCTAATTTTCATTAACCACCAATCTAATGTCAGTAATCGTCAGTTCGACGACGCCATACGGAGAGCGAACGAACGAACGTTGGGCCTCCCTCTCGCTCAACTGCATGACGTCCTAAACGTAGCTGGCACACATAGTCGTTCCGAGGCATTCAAAATGTTGAATAAGTCGGAACGTATATGGTCCACTTTTTCAACATAAGTCGGAACGTATACCGTCCACTTTTCTGCCATGGTTAAGGTTGAGGGTTCAAACTTCAAATCCCTTGTCACTGAACAAATCGATAGTCAGCGGAGCGAGGGCCACTGAAAAAATTCTGAAAAACGGAAACGTAATCGCAGAAAATGGACACAGATCAGACGACCGACATCAAATCTACACGTAATCTTGTGAAATGATGAAATCTCAAATCTACGGAACTCTGACTTGTACTTGACAGAGCTATTGCTGCCCTCTTCCAGCCACCCCCCCAAACATATGGAATGTGCACTGCAGTAAGTTACTGCAGTAAGTTACAGCTGAGATTCTGAAGTGCCCGAGGTGAGCAGTTGTGCGGATGAGCTCTGCTGCTGCTCCAGCTGCATTCTTCTCCCCAGCCACAGCACAGGGTCCAGTTCCAATGGGGGGGGAGAGGGGAGGGAGGGGAAGGGGCTGTCTCTTATACACATCTAGATGTGTATAAGAGACAGGTGCTGCAGAATACCCCTCTTCGCGGGATAGTCACTGCAGACCCCTCTTCACAGCATAGTCACTTCAGAGTCTTCATCAGACCCCTCTTCGCAACATAGGCACTGGAGGGCCCTCGTAATCTCATAATGCTGCAGAAATACCCCTCTTCGTGGGGTAGTCACTACAGACCCCTCTTCACAGCATAGCCACTTAGTCACTTCAGACCCCTCTTCCCGGCATAGTCACTGCAGACCTCTGCAGACCCCTATTTGCAGTTCAGACCCCTATTTGCGGAATAGTCACTCTTTTAAGACCCCTTTTTCAGAATCAGAGGCATTCAAAATACTTGGGATTGTCAGGGAAATCATACTCCACGCGTAACTTCTCATTTCCAAGATCGGCACCTCTCTGGGGGAAGACCACCCTCAGGTCGCCGTACAGATAAAACCGCCTGGAATCTCTTTCTGGCGTTCCACCCCCGGCTCCCAAAAAACCAGTTTTGTTCGGAATCACGTCATCTCCCGATAACGTTTGGATAGGGCAATTGCTCCATCTACCTACTTCTGAGTACACTCCACTCTCCTTGCCTCCATTCTCCGTCACGACATCTTCTTTTGTTCCTCCGTTTCTCCTTCCAAGATTTTCCTTTTGTCCATTTTCCTTGACAAGATTTTCCTTTCCTGCAGCGAAGTGTCCGCCGTTCTCTTGCCCGGACAGCGATGACACGATTCCGGATCCATCGTTATGCTGGATGAGCTCTTCACTGCCACCACTTGCCGATCTCCTCTCACAGATCGGTGTTCCACTCTGGCGATTACCATTCTGCCGATGTTTTCCCTCCAATGTGCCAGTGCATTTGACAGATGATGCCGCGCCGCTCCGGTGATGCTTATGCCTTCCTGAATACCGAACACGCGGACAAACAAACCGAACATGTATGGCGTAACGCAGCGTACCGCTGCCACGACCATTCTTGCTGCTGCTGCTGCTGCTGCTGCTGCTGCTGCTGCTGCTGCTGGTCACGGGTGAAACATTCGCAGCACTTGCTCCGTCTACTTGATTAGCACTACCACCACTTCCTTCCACTCCATTCGCCGCCAGGACACAATTTGTAGTAGGGGTGGCAATCACCTTCTGACGAAGAAATGTCTTTGTTCCAGCCGGCATGTCAGAAAGGTCATAGTTGCAAACAAAAGTATGGATCGGCGTTCTTTCTGGGTTCGAAAGGACCAATTGAATTCTGCCCTTCATGGGCACCCTGTATCGGGACATGTTGCAGCTTCCACAACCATTGCCAACCACGCCCAATTTGATCATGTGCCCTGAGGCATCGCCCGAACCTGGACTAGTGCGACCAAAACTCCCTCCGCTGCCACCAGATTCTAGTCCTACTGGGGACCACGGTTTGGGGAACAGGTCAGTCCTGGGAGAATGGATGTTGCGAGAGCCATCAGGGTCCAGTCTGTCTCTGCTAGGAGACGCTGCTGACTGCGGTGAAGGACTGAGGTCAGCGGAGTACGAAGCAGATGCAGCACGAAAGGACCGTAGAAGCAGACGAGAGCACTTGGCAGGTGACGACTCATGCTGTGAAGAAGATGGTGACGTGGATACGAGAGAAACGGATCCGGATTGTGAGGGGGATAACCGAGGCACGGGCGATGAGGACAAGGGAGACGATGGCGAGGAGAATGTTGGTGAGGATGAAGGTGGAGATGGCAGCGACTTTTTTGCATCAGGGGACGGCGTGAGCGGTGAGGCTTGGTCTGGTGCTGTCAAGTCCAAATCGATGCAAGCATGATAGAGGAAGGATCCTTCGTCAATACAGCTCACAGAAAAGGGAAGCCTGCGGTTGGCAGGAGCAATTGAGCCCCCAACGACGCTCAGAAGTGCTAAGAAACCTCCAAGCTTCGTTGATGGGCTGGGGGCCAAGAGGCGGCCTGAGAATAGACACTCCTCAAACGAGCCGACAAGCGCCTTTTGCCGAAATAGCCACCCTTCCACTGGTTCCATTCCTCCGAGCGCACTCGCACTGACAGCTCCTCCTCCTCTCCCAATTGATAGACCACCACCGCTCTGCTGCCCCCCTACATTGCTCGGCGACAGCGGCAGAAGCGGAAGGACCGGAACAGACTCCAGCGCTTCCGTAGCGACACCAGGTATTGTTTGGGAGCAGTCAGCTGCCGCCAGAGAACCAGGCAAGACAACGCTCACCTTCTCCTCCTCCCCCTCCTCGAGAGTTCGTCCTGCTTGCCCGGCTGATGGCGGCGGCCTCTTCGATATTCGCCTCCCCAAAGGCGATCTACAAATAGGATAGGTCGATGAGCGATCCTTCCGCTTCCCACCGCCCGAAGAAAGCAGCAAAGAGGCGTCTTTCTCATATTGACAGGCAAGCGAAGGGTCATTGACATCGACCCGCAGGACCGACGACATTGTCTTCCTCCGTGCCACCCACTCATCCCACGGGGTCCTGTACTCCCTCCCTCGAGCGGAGGGAGGGGAAGATACTAGCAAAGGTAACAGCAACCGCGCTTTCTTGCGTGTTTGCCCCCCTGCCCATTCACCCAAACTGGCGACGTCCTGCCATTCTTTCACGTTTGTGCTCCCGCTTGCCAGGCCATAGTTAGACTCCTGTTCGGGATGTACAACTGCAACTGGCGAGCAAGGCATTCTTGTTGACATCACATTTGCCGCCTTCAGCAACTTCAGTGCTTCCAAACTCGACTTCTGCTCTGACCGCAGACAGGATGGTCGACTCGCCTGTTTGCAAGTCGACTCGCATGTGTCCGCAGAGTTTGCGGACAGGGTAATGCCTTCGACATATGCCTCCTCTTGTTCAATTTCTACAACTTCATCTTCTTCCTTCTCTTCTTTCCTTTCTTCTCTCTTCTGCATCCGGCTTCCGCATTTGCTTTCAGCATCGCACAGTTTAGAACCCTGTGCTTCATCATCCTTGACTTGCCTGTTCGCAAGCCAGAGCTTAACAGAGCCACTCAGGCCCTTTGGAGGGACGTTCTGCACACTGTGAACAGGAGTCTGGGTCACCGTACCACCACACAGCTCCTGATCTTTAGCGTTCTCGAAACTGCCAACACCATCAGAGGCCTGGTTATAGCCCCCTGCCTTGCCTTTGCTCCCCCCTTGCAATTGGAGAAGCATTGCAGAATTGCCGTGAAGAGCGAAATCATCTTCGCATCTCCTGCGGACCGCCCTCTTTGGGTAGGCGGAGTCGATAGCCTCAGCATCGGCATGCCTTTTGCGCTGGGAATGGACATTATTGCTCAAAGATGCACTTGCATTGCAATAATACCCATCGTCCTCCCTAGATTGAGGTACAAGTCGTGAGTTGGGCATTTCAAACCCACCGCCCAAATACCCATCTCCATCTCTTGAAGGGGGTAGAACTGCGGAGTTGGGATCTCCGTACCCACCCAAGAGCTTGCCTGATATACTATAACAGGAATCATCTGGATTGGTAGACAAAGGCCACTCCGTCCTGCGGCAGTACTTGCTATGTTTGGGCAAAATGGAGCAAACATCACTGATGTGCATTGGCAACAACGATGGAACATGGGCACAATCCTCTGATGCTGAAGCGCCCGCCCCCTCTACGTAATGCTCAACACTACTTTCATCAGCATACGGATCAAGACCTTGCCAATCATCCAGCAGCATTGAGTCCTCAGGCATGCGCAGGTGCGAAATCCAACGGTGACGCCATCCATCATTTTCATGGGCAGATCTCCCCCACGGGGGAAAAGGAGACCCCCAACCAACTACGCCACCTGCAGATTGCGCAGACGTGCCCATCCTGAAGAATTGAATGTGCGCTGTGCAGTGACCGTTCCCGGAGACTCCCTCCTTCACTATCACCCTGCCCCCCCCCCCCCACCCTCCTACACTTCCCCCTTCCCTCCCTCCCTCTTTTCCACCACCTCTCCTCTCACCTTTCCTCCCTCTCCCTCGTCCTGCCTCCAACCCTCCCTTACCCTCTCTCCCTCCCTCCCTCCCAGCAAACGATTAGAGGTGATTTTCTGGCCAAGGACCAATGGAAGAGGCCATCAGCACATCCAACCACCTGTTGGCACATCCATCACTCACCGCTTGAGGAAAGACAGCATGCCCATCTCGCACACACACTGCTCACTCCAAGACATGCATGACGCAAGAGCTGCCAGTGCGCGCATGTCTACGCGTGGGACACTGGATCTGATGGCTGTCAGCCTGCACATCCCTTAAATGACCGCGCCAACATGGCGCAGAGAAGGACACACAAGGAGCAGGGACGGTGCCTTGTAAACACAGTCGCGGGGACGGTCGGTGCCTTGAAAACACACAGTCGCTTAGACCTGAACAAGACAGTGGGATGGAAAGTGATCCACCAAGTGGCCAACATGGAGCAGAGAAGGACACAAAGAGGAAAATGAATAAACTGTTCCGTCAAGGAGAATACAGTGCTGGGGGTGTAAGACCCCTTCACCTACTTTGCGACTTTAATACGTAACATTTCATGATTCCTGAAAACATATGGGTGAGACATGACCACAAGGTTAAGGGCTTGATGAGGACCTTATGTAACACCCTTGTCTTCCATCCCGCACCTCCCCACTCCCCAGCCCCCCCCCCCCCCCCCCTTCCCCTACGCATACAGAGAAGGTCAGCTCTCCCTCCACACACCAGGCCCGGAATTTCGAAGCCATCTAGGTCATGAGGAACAATATGAGTAAATGTTATATAGTTTATAAATAAATAATAACATGCATCATATTGTTCGCCATGACCTGAGATGACTTTGTTTGTGAACAGTTACTGTGTCTAGGTGAAGTTTGGTGCACAGTAACTCACTCCGAGGGCAGTTACTCAATTCGCGCAGTAACACAGCAACTCCATCTATGAACAGTTACTCCGTCAAGGTGAATTTCGGTGAACAGTAACTGCGAGCACAGTAACTCACTCTGAGGACAGTTACTCAATTGGAGCGCCATAATACAGTAACTCACTCTGAGGACAGTAACTCAATTTGAGCACAGCAACACAGTAACTCACTCTGAGGACAGTTACTCAATTTGAGCACAGTAAAAAAGTAACTCACTCCGAGGACAGTTTGGTGAACAGTAACTCACTCTGAGCACAGTAACTCACTCTGAGAACGGTTACTCAAGTTGGGCACAGTAACGCAGTAACTCGATCTGAAAACACGCACACAACAAACACCAACTTGCTGTGAATGAGAGCAGTACACAGTAACTTTGCTCTTCGATCTCTGAGAAAAGTAACTTTTGCTCTGGCGAAGATAACTCCCACCGAGGGTACGGTAGGGTAGCGTAGTCACACTCGCGAGAGCTGAGACACAGTAACTAACTTGTTCAAAGAACAGTAACTGTTTTTTACGCTGACGTTAGCACCTTTGCTCTGACATGTTAACGACATTAATCTTCTGTGACCACAGTAAATCACCCGGAGATCTCCAACAACGATCTGCTATACAAACGGTAACTCGCTTTGAACATGTTCAACACAAAATAATGGCCCATTATTATAATAAAAATAAAAAAAAGGCCCATGCCTAGCGCGTTATCCAAACATGAGAAATCGAAGGCACAATGATGCGATCGCACTGGTACACGGTCCAGACCCCTCTACCGGCTTTCCCCGAATAGAGCGTACAGTCATTATACCTGTATTTGTGGCAACTTCCAGTCTAGATACAGCAATAATGACCATACGTTCTCTATTCGGAGGAAGACAGTCAACCCGTGCGGCGGCTGAATGCTACACACGTGTAAAACTGTTGTTGAACAGATCACCAGTTCGATTCCCGGTGGATCGGAGCGATACGATGATTACAAGCTACAACCATAAATCGTAAAAAAAAAAAAAAAAAGCCGTTCGGACCACCAGGGGGCAGAGTGTCTAGAATGTAGATGGGCAAGAGAGGAGGGGTCACGAGATAGGCAAAAAGAAAAAAAGAATGTCTTAGAATGTAGATAGGCAAAAAGAATGTCTTAGAATCGGTTGCGCTTCTAAGAATTAGCCTTGAAAAAGAAAAAAAGAAAATAAAAAGAAAATAAAAAGAGGGCGGCAAAAAAAAAGAAAAAGCCTCAAAAAGGAAGAAACTCGGTATTCAACTGGGCACTGAGGTGATTACCAGAAAACAAAAAAGGACAAAGCTGAAATTAAAAAGGAAGTTGGAAAAAAAAAAGGAAGGGGGAAAAAAAAAAAGAAAAAAAAAAAAGATCAGAAAGAGAGAATTGTCTCCGGGGCACACAGCCTCACTAGCAAAGAGGCTTGGATTCACCGCAGCTGAATGCCGACATGTGTGTGGAGAGGTCCAGAAAAAAAAATCGCAATTAATATCCAGTTCTGCACGTCGGCATAAAACTCATCCAGATTCAGGGGTTTAATAATTTAATGATTTTAATGAAATTTAATCCCATCCTCCTTCCTAGTGGGACTGCGCCGCGCCGCGCCGCGCCGCCGCCCCAGGCTGGCTCACAGCGCATCTGTTCAGACAAGTGACTTCACTAGAAGGCAAGGTGTTGGGCGCCCCCCCTTCCCCGGTTGCCACAGCCAGGCAGGCAGAGCCCAAGCCGGCGGCCGTTCACCGCCACGCACATGACTGCGTGGACCCCTTCTTGTGCACGGCGGTGAACCACAAAAGACGTAAGGGGTACAATATGCTGACAGGTGAGCTTCGGCAGGCAATAAAAAAAAAAAAGACATGAAGGAAGTTAAAAAAGAGTCGACGACTACCCAAGAGCGTAGCTCAATGGGTACACCATTGAACTGGCAAAATACAGACCCGTGTTCGAACCCAGAGGATGGAACTTGATGAGGAAAACGAGATATTTCTGAATTACCTGGGGCTGGTCAGGTCAATGATGATATCTGAAGACCGTCACGGCATCACCCTTAAAAAAAAAAAAAAAAAAAAAAAAAAAGAGTCAACGACTGCAACAGCAAATCGACATTGCCGGCGGCTGTAGCCGTTCCGAGAAAGAGATGATGTGTCAGCGTGTGTGTAAGCAATGACGAGTTCTCAGAGAGAGGAGAGAGGAGGAGGAGGAGGAGGAGGGGGAAGGAATCCCAGCGAGGCTGCTCGGGAAGCGGTTCGCTGCACTTCGTGCAGCTATCGACCAACATTTTGCCGCACATCTACAACTAATGTGACTGCACCTGGTCACATGCCACAGCTAGTTGCACAAAGGTGGATCTCGCCGGTGAGGGAGCAGGACATTCTCCAATATCAAAAGATTCAAAACATTACAGGTAGGCAACAGGTGAAGCAAGAGCAGGTTGTACTAGTATGGACAAATCCAGTCTCACCTGGGGTCGGAGCCACTGCCAAAAAGACACAAGCATGGCTGCACTCTCGCAGGCATGTAAGAGATGCATCATTAGACCACTGCCCATGATGAATCAGTCACCTAAGTAAGGCTAAGTTGTCAGCCTCATGACCAGAGTTTGCGGAGGCAAGCAGGAATAAGGGGGCAAGAGAGAGAGAGAGAGAGAGAGAGAGAGAGAGAGAGAGAGAGAGAGAGGTTGCCGGGCTCACGAGTCATGACCAGAGTTTGTGGAGGCAGGCAGGAATACACAGAGAGAGAGAGAGAGAGAGAGAGAGAGAGAGAGAGAGAGAGAGAGAGAGAGAGAGAGAACTCAGTATGGATGCCAACCAGTATGAGAAGCAGACTGGGCTTGCAGGAAATGAGAGGGCAGGGATAAACCATGACACTCAGGCAGCATAAAAAGTGGCAAGTAGTCTATGTTTTTGTAATCAGACATCTGGCTTAACACAACACTATGGCTACTGTATGGCGTCAGCTTGTGCTTAACTGTATCTATTGTCGAAATCAGTCAGACATAGCCAAACATAGCTATAGCCCAACACAGCTATCTAGCATCAATAGCTTACTCGTTGGACTATTGTCTACTGCTTATTGTTGGACAAAGCGCTGTGCGCCAGACATGTGTATATTATGTTTATATATGTCCAGCTCAAAGTCTACTCTTTTGCAGCTGTAGCCGAATACAGGTATAGCTGCGAATAGACAAAGTCTGCCACAAGGTACAGCTTATGTTTAGATCAAATGGAAATAGACGGTACTCGATCACATCTATTCTTTCTTGCACAAAGAATAAACTCTACGTACCTTTACTAAGGACAGCAGATGGCAGAGGAGTTCACTAAACTATTAGCAACGAAGAGTAGACATAGAGAATTACCATCAGATAATAATAGAATAGATCCATTCTAGACTTTCGCCCCCACAAGTACATTACATGTAATTCATGAATGTATGAAGGCCACGAAGTGGGAGAGGCAGGATTCGAACCTACGTAGAAATATAACCTTCAGCGAGAACTACGACTTTATTAGGTGCGAATAGCCAGCATGCGTGTGTATGTATAGGCGTAATCGACACTAATGGATCATCATGTCTACATGACAAAGTACTAAAAGCCTATCGCTTGCGTTCATCGCCTCCTTTTTGCGAGGACAGACTGCAAACAAAAGGCCATCTTAAACCACCAGTACACCCGAATTCGGTGTTTTCGCCAACTTTTTCGTTACTGGTCCAGATACGTCGAAAGACTCGAAACTGAATACATACAGATATATACCCTAAAGCACATACATATAATACAAAAAGACAAACAAGAAAAAAAGCAAAAATTCAACGTATATGGACTAGTTTCGGTGAAAAATTCAGGGGGAGTACGGCAGCTTCGGTGAAAAAAATGCCAAAATAACACCACCCATTAAACATTAGTG